ACTGCTGTAGCCGAGGTACTCGACTGGCACTCCCCTCCACTTAGCGGAGTAGGGCGATCGGCGCGGACTGTTCGTTTTCTCGCATTAAATCTACAGCGACCAAAACCGATCAAAACTCTCTTACAATATTGCAATTACTTTAAATGAATATTTAACTCATTTAATTTAACAATCGGAACACTAATGAAGTTCATTACAATAAGGATTCGATAATTAACAATCATTAACAGTCATTATATAAAAGAAAATGAAGTCCCTTGTAATTAACACAATATACAGGGTCTCCCAGGAATAAGTGCAGAAATTTTTATGAACTTCATTACAACTCTCATAATACCAATAGCAGTGAACCACTATCAAAAAAAGAAGGGTATTTGAACATAAATTTAATAAAGAGTGGCTAACCACGTATCTGTGGCTGCAACGAAAAGGTGACAACAATTTTTGTACATGATGCGGTCGCACATTTAAATGTAGTATTTTTGATATTAAAAGGCACTTACATACAGAGTTCCACAAAAGGAACATGTTAAAATTAAAAATACTCCAAAAATAACTGATGTGATAATGGACGAGGCTATAATAATAAAAAGGCATAGGCTTGCTAAGGAAGCTGAATTAAAAATATGTGGGCTCTTACATGAACATAACTTGCCTTTTCTTCTAGCTGAACACCTTCCAAGTTTCATTAGAAGTATCTGCCCTGATTCAAAAATATATCCAGCCAAAAATATATCTTGCTCAAGGACCAAGGCAACATACGTTACAAATAATTTCCTTAATACTCAGCAGCTTGAAATTATTTCTAATAAACTAAAAATTAATAAATATTTAATTATCATAGATGAAACAACTGACATCAGCACAAAAAAATCATTGGTAATTGTAACAAGATTTTATGACAATTAAAAAAGTTACTGACAGCTTTTTTGGTCTTCTGTTGCATTCTAGTTCCAAGTTCTAATGCTAACCTAAAGTATTAATTAAAATGCACAATTAAGCTCAGTCAAAGTATTAAGTTTTTGTTGCCTAAAAGGTTTTTATATTTAGCATATTTTGACTTGATTAATAATATGGCTCACTTGCATGCAAATGTGGCTCGTTTTTTTAATATTATGTGGCTCGGAAAAAAATAGTCTATCGGCAACACTGAACGACAGTTCGTGGTCGCACGCGAGACAGTGAAGTCGAGTTCCGGAGTGCTACGCCAAGTGACCAGCCGTCAGGTCAGCCGCCGATCGCCGCCGTGCTGCGCAAAGTAAGCACCAGCCGCCGAAGTGATCGAAGGTAGGTCGTATTCTTTTTATTATTACTAGCGTTTACTCTACTACCTAAGTGTGTTATAGGCGTAGGAGAGAGAGCGAATCTTACATTCGGTCAGATAGGCCATAATAGAGAATTATGGCACGCGCCGATAGTGGCAGTCACTAATAAAAACATTCTTAATCTGACATTATTGACAGTTACGCATGCGCAGTTTTAACGACAAATAAGGACGGTCACTAATAAAATAAAACCCTTCCTTATTTGTGACAAGATAGTGAAAGGCAGTATTTTGTCACTATTCATGTCGTTATTTTAGGCGCATGCGCAACAAATTTTTTTACAGATCTGTGGATGTGCTTTCATTTATGATCTTAAGATCATAACCTGTAGAGCGTCGCGTCGTGTCAGAACGTGTGGTTACTTTTTGCCTTTTGCTGTTTTTGTTGCCTTTATTTTTAATAATGAATAGCTTTAATAAGTCTACTAGGTTGCGATTTACCTACGAATACTACCTAGTATTATTGCGGGAGTTTTTACATGTTAACCCCATAATAAACCTACAAGGATGGGAAATTATGCAATCGAATGTGGCCAGCACAACGGGGAAAACGTATTTAATAAAAACGCTGAAACAGCACGTTCAACGCCTAATTGAATTGTTATTAAATAAAATTAAAGTTGATGAATTTAGGTAAGTTAAAACCATCAATTCAAATGTAAATACACCCCTATAAACAAAGTTTTTTTTAGATCGGGAATTGAGGAACCCCCCTGTTGTGAAAAAAATATGTTGCTCCAGGAAGTAAGTTCCCTTGTACAGGAACATAAATATGATTTTAGGAAAAAGAGATCAACATCATCGTCCTCATCTAAGGATCACATGATCATGGAAATGGGGAAGAAAGCACGAGAAGCCTGTGCCCAAACATTTGGAGAGATAGAAGAAGGATTGGCGGAAGAGGAAGTTGTTCATGTGGTTCCAACACCAATGGCTGTAGATGAGCACTGCTATTTTAGTAAGTTTAATCTTGCAAATAGAAAACAAAGTAATGAGATATTAAATAGTTATTAACGTAATAAGGCCGATAAACAACAAATAACGGCCGGGCTGAAGTTTGTGATCCGAGGCGATAGCCGAGGATCATAAGCAGCCAAGGCCGTTATTTGTTATCGGCCGTGTTGCGTTCTAGATTTTTCGTCATACTGCAGATTTTTTAGAGCAATAAACACTACTATTTAATAACAAATTTTATTGAACAATAACACAAGTAAGGATAAAAAATACATAATGTCTTATACTAAAATTCATTTTTCATGATAATGAACATGGAAATTAAAAGTGCACTTGTTGTTTTTAGAAATCTGTAATCCTTCCCAGGGATTTACAGATTTTATAGAAGAAGATGATGCTACTGAAGAATGGCAAATATTTGTATCCACTAAAGACACATTATTTTTGGAGCTATCATGAAAAAGTTGATTTGTTATTTTCATTCTTTTGGAAACTGATTTTCTATGTAAGTTTCTGCCACTGTTGAAGACTCCCATCCTCCTAGCTCCTTTAGCGATAGTAAATCACCACCATTTTCGGCGAGCATGGTTGCTGATGATCTACGAAATGAATGCCCTGTATAACGTTCTGATTCTCCAAGTTCAAAAATTTTGCAATTTTCTGCGGTACGCTCCCGATGGTATGTATACCGACGATTTGCTTAACACACTTGCCTTTCTTGTAACCAATGAAAAATTTTGGATTGTCAAAGTTACGAGGACGCAGGTTGATGTATTTTTGTATAAACCATAGGCATCAAACGGAAGGCCCGTTTTGGAATAAGAAATTTCCTATCTTTCTTATTTTTAGTATTTCTTAATGAGACAAGAATATTTTTCTCCGAATCTTCGAAATCATCAACTGTGAGTGACCAAAGCTCGCTGCGCCTACAAGCTCCAAGAATACCAAGCACCAATACAATTTTTTCGAGTAACCAGGTGTAATCATCGGCATCCAGTAGAAAATTATTTATGTCATTCTCCGACAGAACTTTGGCTTTTTTTGGTGAATAACCTTCGTTTTTGCGCCTCAGAAACATGAACAGTTTACCAAATCTATGAACAAATATAATTTAGATGAGTATGATTAAATATCGAAGAATATAATGGCTTTTTACCTTGATATGTCGATGTTTTCATATACTCTCAACGCAAGCTTCAGCATGGATATCTTTGTCCACAGTGATGTAGGAGAATACATTTCAGACATTCTTTTAGCATAAGCCAGCAATACCGCTTCATTTACGCTGTTTATACTTCTATCCTGCCGCCACTTCAAAAAATTGTCATATTCCTGCTGATATCTCTCTCTGGTTATAGTCGGAAGTAAATTTTGAGTAGCCGCAGCCGCTTCCTCCTGTATTTCCAACGGAATTTCTCGCGACATCTCGCTATGGTCTATTTTCCCAATTTTTGAAAAGTCCAACTGACAATAAATAGTCATTGTTGCAGGTGACAGACGTTACGATTACCTTAGAAACTTAACGGCCGCCGGCCGTTATGATAACGTCCGGCGGACGTTATATGCATCTTTTCCATTCTGATTTTGCTTATGTTATAATAATATAACAATATAGTATGACGAAAATGTTATTAACTTATGTTTATATTGTCTTTATGTATTAGGGGTTAATAATTCAAATTTTTAGACTACCACAAATGAAAATCCTACTTTTTTATTGTTTAGTATAGTTCATCAACTAATTTGAGTTGTTCCGATAGACTGATTATTACTCTTTTTAGTTCACGAAGAGGCACCTCAAGAAGAAATTATAGTGGAAGAAATAACTCAGCCTACAGTTCCTCCCACCCCTAGTACTTCCAAGCAAAGTAAACCAACTCCTGCTAGTAGAAAAAAATCTTAGGTAGGCTTTACCTATAGTACCTTATAATTATTACTATGTGTATACCCATATCATGATTTTTAGAGCCAGTTATTTTTTAAGTAAATTATATTATAATATTTTAGTTATCCTTAAATATTTTTTATAGGTCAAACTAGAAAACAAAAAAAGATAAAAAATGCCCTGCTATATCTACAAGAAAAAATGAGAGGGAAAATAATATTAAAATTAAAGAACTCGAGTTGGAGGAGAGAAAAATTTTAATTGAAGAGGAAAAACTTTCGCTAAAACGAGAGGAAATCCGTTTACGGGAAAAAGAATTGGAACTACACCACAAAGAGGTGATGGCTAAATTAGAGGCTGAAAAAAATCGTGGCGACCTAGACATTGCAGAAAGAAAATTATCAATACAATTGATGCAATCACAGCAAAAGTTGATTGACCAATTGCTCCACAAAGAATAAAATGTTTTTTTTCTACATAGATTGTTTTATTTTTTTCAGTCGCTTTTTTTTAGTTATTATTAGTATTTAGTTTTTTTTAGTTCATCATTTAAATTAGTTGTAGGTATATTAGTTAAGTAAAATGTAGTTGTATAAATAAAAAAGAATAGAAAAGTAGGTTTATTATTGAATTCCAAAATATACATTTATGTTTGGTGGTACAATATTAAAATATGTTGCCGTCTGGCTTCCATAGAGACATGTATGACAGTTCGTCAATAGCACTGCTGTTTTATACATTGACTCGACATCTTGCATGAGAAGCTTCTGGTTTTTTCTAAAATCTATGAATGCGAACTGTCCTACTACTTTTTCCCAGCCCATTCAAGAGATACCCTCATTCAACAGATACCCTCAACCTTTTCATTGACTGGTTAAACTGCTGTTGATACGGTTGTAGATCTGCAGGTCTGCCTTGGTATGGTGTTATTAGTAAATCCATTAAACCATAGGCTTGGTCTCCATATAAAGAAAATTTTTCATCAGGACCGAAATTAGCTACATGCTCTAGCTGATTATATAGCCCTGATTCCCGAAATATTCCAGCATCGTGTCTTCGACCTGGAAATGCACCTTTTAGGCCTACAATAATCCCATCTGGATACAGCACAGACTGGTATTTAAGGCAATGGAACCTTTTGTGCCCTGAATAATAATTTTCTTCCTCCACTGATGGACGGCATATTTGTCTTGCAGTGCCGTCAATAAATCCCCAACAGTTTTGCATAGCACCACCTTTTGCATGAATAGCCTAAAGATTAAAGTAAATAAAAAAAAGTAAAAAAAGTAAATAAAAAGAGACGACATACGAAGATACGCCATGTTCCCATTCTTAGGCATGCTGACAGATGTCAATATCCAACTCAGAAAAGTGTATGATGATCAACGCGTGCTTGAAGACAGCTTTAAAATGATGGATCTTGATAAAGATTACAATGTACATTTGTTTGAGATCATCAAAATATACTGACGATATGACCATAGATTCCAGGAAATCTCTCCCATCACCATTCAAAATGACGAAGATATTTTTGCCGTGTGGAGGAGCCTGAAAGAGGAGTCATTATCTTTTCCTGGGGGTTCTCATAGTTCCGAAAAACAAAGTAATATAGTAGTCAAGCCCCAGCTCAGAGTCCGTATGCTGCCATCTTCATCATCAGATTGTCTTTACATATCTGCAAAAATACTGCATGATCCTAAACCATTTTTGTTCTCTTCCCAGCTATTAAAGACCATATACAACTTATCTCGAAGTATAAGGCATATAAGCGGAAGCGCAACATCCTATTTATCAGTAATTACACGACATAAACTAATAAACACAATCAGGTATACACAGTCTCCATACAACGTTGTGGTATGCTTGGCTGATGGTAGCGGAGGACTGTGCAATTTGCTGATGCACATTTTCCCTTATTGTAAAGTTCTATTCAATACTTTGACTCTTCCTTCAGTTAATCCAACACTAGATCAGATTTCTTATACCCCACCTGCTTTCTTAGGAGAAAAATGTTTTGACTATACCTCTAGACTTGTAGGATTTGAAGATCTTAACGTAGGAGAGACAGATATAACATCTACCAAGTTCCAAGCTAAATTTTCAGATCTTATGGAGTAGAAATCCTATGATGCCTGTATGATCACTATCGATCTGGAAACCAAAGACCACATTGTCTATTACAAATTGGCCGACCTATTATTATTCTACTCTATGCACCTTGCATTCAATGGTCTTCTTATTTGCAGGATGATACTAGAAGAAAAATCCCTGATCTCTATAGGAGAGTTTCTAGACAATTACGATACTAACTTCCGAGGTTACTTTTCTAAACCTCTATCTGAAAATCAGTACACCAATTCACTTCTATTAATCATTCAACGTGTAGAAGAAAGATCTCCTCCACCTCAATGCTTCGAATTAGAGCAAATATCCCCAAATATGATACGATCTTTTATTTATACTTCAAGAAAAAAACAATCTCATCTCAATGCTATTAGCAATTCGCTGCTCAACTACATCACGCCAGAAGGACTAGACTGTCAAGGTTATTTCGACAATGTTTGGGACGAAAAAAGATTCTTGATATCTTGCTTCTCGTTCCCAGAACTTATTTGCTTGACTCGAGGCTACAAACTTGGAGCACCAAGGCTGGGGTGTGAGTCCATTAAGTCTATCATCATAGAATTGGCCACCTCAACATGGGAACGACAAGAATCAACTCCCAATATGACAGCTGCCCTCATAAAGATGGGGAAGGCATCTTACCTGTCTGTTACTGTGCAACTTTTGGTGGCAGCATATTGCTTGACAGTATCTCTATCCAAATCGTTGTTTGAGGTGTATAAGGTCCTAGTATTTTTATCTACAACAAAGATACAGGCTATAATAAGAAAAGTCCCGTTTTCGAAAGATTACCTTCGAATTGATATACAAGTTAACAGATACAACTCTTCAGAATCTATTGCTAGAGAATTGGGAGAGAAGTTCAAGTGGATATTAAGTGGGACCAACTTCAAACAGATGTGTCATCCTCAGTCATCATCATATAAGCACCAACTAACAAAATTGGAGAAATTAAAATTGAGTAATAAATCTATTTCTATTATTGATTCATTGTATACATCATTAAAATCCATTTATAAGAAGCATGTTCCAAATAAACAACTGGGAAGTATAAGTGTTACATTAAACAGATCATAATTAATTATATAAAACTGATCTACTAACCTGGGAGTAATATGTCATTTTATTTCTCATCTCGCGACCATTCGCAACCATTGTAGGTCTTGTAAATTATTTAACAATATTTCATTATTTGCCAGAATAATATCTGTTGTAGCCCGAACAACTTCAGATATTGTTTGTGGGGATAAACTGAACATTGGTGAAATATCTCTCAAGCGATTAGGATATGCAAGTCTTTTTAGCAAAATGCAAAGAGCAGTGACATCTAAAAATAGTAAAATATGTAGAGTACAAAAAAATTATAATATAATAAAAAATATTCTACACAATTTTTGTCAATACATAACATACGTACTATTTACTTTTACTCTTCTTTGGGTTCGTACTTTTAGTCAACCTAAAAGGTTGGCTAATTGCAAAATGTCTTGCCTTTCAAATCGAAAATGTTTCTTTACATCCTCATCATCATAATCATCCAGTGTGAAATTATTACCATTCTCCATCATATTGTCTCTGTTTATTAGGACATTATCTAATATTAAAAATTCAATTTCAGCATCATTTGCACCTCCTAGAATTGCAGCTTCTAAAAGTTCTTCAATTTTTCTGATCAAAAATCGTAAATATAAACTAAAAAATCCAACCCAAAAGAATTACAGTACAGAATACACGTAAGAATACACAGAATCATAGACACACTATAAACAACTGCACAGCACAGAATTTTGTATGTTATCTGTGCAGAGTACAGAGAATACAGAATACAGAACCAAGTTTAAGGTTAATAAAAACCACAAATCAGAAGGTAAGGATTAACGAAAGAAAATAAAGACGCCATAACAGGGTTGCCATATTTCTTCTTTAAAGGCAGAAATACTGACCGTCACTAATTAAATAAGGCCCAGCAATAATAACGAAAGTCAGTATTTAAAAAGTGCCATAATTCTCTATTCTGTCTCTTTTTAGAGTTGTGGGTTATCTGATCGAATTATACGAATGAAAGGATCGTCATCCACCAGGTGCTTGGCCGCCACACTGTAGACAGTTTACTGCCTTCAGTGGGTATAGCTTAGGCAGACCTGAGCTTTGGAGATCCGAAGGCAATACCAGTGCGCCGTTATCCTTACTGGTATGTCCGGGCAAACTAGTGAACGATACGGTCGCCCACGTGAGCCGTGATTTGGTGTTTGGCTAGGGCACTAAAAGAGCGGGAGAATAAGGGTTGCCGATCAGGCGAAAGAGGGAATACGGTATGCCAGGGCAGGTCGCCAAGAATTATGTCCCTTTTTAGGGTTGTCTGACACCTGCTTAGGTATGACGCATCTTTCGGTTGCGTAGATGAGTGTTCTTAATTTCTTTTATTACTATTACCAGAGTTGCCGACCAGGCAAAAGAGAGAATATGACATCTGCTCAGGTATAACGTACCTCTCGGGGGAATTTAGTTAAGGGCTATTAATTAATTATCTTTTTCGTATTCGTATTATTAAAGTTGTGAGAGTAGAGTGCGACAGCGAACAGATAAGGTAGTTCAGTAAACACATGGGTTGCGAATATTTACGGCGCTTGACAGGATCTCGCTGACTATCTCACGGCTGGTTCTGTCGCGCCCGGATTTCTCTAGGTGTGTCGTCCGGATGGTACCCTGTGTACGTCAGTGACGCTTGACGGGATCTCGCCGAAATCACGAGGCTGCTTCTGTCGCGTCCTGACCGGGCTGTGTCTGTTTGTTACCAATTTACTGTGGCATCTTCTGCGTCAATTATCCTGTACTCTAGACACTGTTTTTCTTGTGGCATCATACACCCTGATGTCACAGTTAAATCTTCTTTAAAATTATTAAAATAGGAGATAGAATCAATATTTTTGAATCTGCCGCCAATTCAGTCAAAAAGGTATCGATATTTTTGTTTGTTTCCGGTATAAGTTTTTTCTATAAAAAAGTAACCTAGTGTGTATGTGATGTCACAAATGATGGTGTTTCTTTTATGAATATGAAAAGCTTATGACATCATCCAAAGCTGCAGACAAAAGCGCCCCCTACAGTAATAACGAGTGTGAAATGATGGTGATTTAGAGCACACAAAAAAGATAAACCAGAATAACTTTGAATACGGATTATCACCTTTGCACGCACACATCCGGTTTTTTGAACGTCTAATACATATATCCTATAGGTTAAGTTTATTATCGATAAATTTAGGAAAGAAATGGGTCTACTAATTGATCTGCTTAAGCAAGAAGGAGAAATGTTTAGAAATAGAAATGTTTCGAGCGAGGAAGACACATTTTTTTCCTTGAACTATTGAAAGAAAAAAAAAATATTAAAATTATTGGATGGGAAAAGATTTAAAGCAGCAGAAGTGTATAAAGCCCTGGAAAAAGAAATAAAAAAGGAGGGGTATAATAAGGATGCAACGATGATGAGGACTAAATTCAAAAATCTGAAAGGCAAGTCTTTATTTATTTGAAATTAAAATTGTTTAGCAGTCATAAGCGTTAGGATTTACGAGTGTTTTTTTATAGCTGAGTATTACAAAGCCAAAAAACGTAACGATCAAAGCGGAGTTGATCCCAAATATTGCCCTCGTTTTGAATTGTTGGATGACCTTTTGGAAGATCGTCCATCAGTGACTCTGGAAGGGGTAGACACCTCCCTAACTGAACAAGGGACTGATGAAGATGTTTCTGTTTCACAGGAAGAAAGCCAGTTGACAAACCGGAACATCTCGGAGACAATGGAGCAGTCGAATCGAGAGGAGAATACTGAGAATACTGAAAGTCAAAGAGTCATAGGGTTACTCCATTATCAAGAAACCCAACTGCTGTTTTGATGGAGCTTAAAGATTCCCTACAAGTTTATCTAGCAAAAATTGCAGAAAAAGAAGAAAAAGATGACCAATTTATTGAAAAACTTTTAAATGGTCAATCGCATCTCTTGAAACAAAGGACCAGATACTTTATTGAGGGGATAGGTGAACTATTCAACAAAAAAAGGAAAATATATTATTCTTCATCTTTCGATGAGTCTGAGGACGATAAAAGAAAAAAAAGGAAATACGCCGTTCATTAATAGATACATATGTATATTACTACAAGGTAGTGGGTTCGAATCCCACACCCGGTATTGCATCAGCATTTTTAT